GCATCTGCCTTACAAGCAGAGGGTCGCTGGTTCGAGCCCAGCATACTCTACCAATAGTTAAATAATGAAAGTTAAATATTTAGGGAAGGTAAAAAAGAAGTCCAAGAGCGTTAAACAATTTAGTGATATTTTTTACAAAATAATCTTCGAAAAATTGGATGGGGGAAAATAAGTGTCTACGCTTTTCAGAGTATTATTAATCCAAAAAATTGAAATTTCATTGAGGAAAAACGATTAAAAGTTGATGACGATTGGAAATAGACTTTGAGACAGATATAATTGAAAGATTTGACCGTTCCGAGGAATACTTTCACTTGATAGATTTCCAAATTATTAAAGGTGTCTGATATGTTGAGTAATTAGACAAATTGCTGATTTAGCTCAATTGGCAGAGCAACCGCCTTGTAAGCGGTAGGTTATAGGTTCAATTCCTATAATCAGCACCATTTCAATAAGGGAGAATAGCTCAATTGGCAGAGCAGTTGACTGTAGATCAATTGGTTGGGGGTTCAAGTCCCTCTTTTCCCACCATTATATATATCAATAAAATAATAAAATCTGGATATGCGAATAAAAAAAATGAGAAAAGTGGTATTGAGGAGTAATTTTTGTTTTAGTAATAGGTTTGCTGATTTTAATTACTCTTCGGGGAAAAAGGAATTATATGAACAATTAATGGTGAAGAAAAGGAACTTTCTAAGTTAAACTCAGCTTTAGTAATTTTTCTTAACATAATTCCAATTACTTGAATTTGATTTGTGCTAAGAAATTGGCTCTTAAAACCCAATGACTTCGTTTGTAAATATTGCAAAAAAGAATTCGGTTTAGGGTTTGAAACAGAAAAAGAAGTTTGTAAAACTTGTTATAGAAAAAGGAGCAAGATTTAAAATAAATTTATAACACCATGAATAAATTTATAAAAACCTGAGAAAAATATATTGAGTTGTAATTATTGCTTTAATGATATTTATGATAGTAGCGTTTCACAATGACCCAAATAATTTTGTTGTAATTAATTCAAATGGTCAAAAAAGACCCATGACTGCTACCGAAGCTTACTTGTTTATTTTTATATTTTTAGGTGGAGTTGGGTCTTTATTATGACTAATTATTAGATATTTCGTTAACAAGAAAAATAAAGGGTTAAGTCAGAAAAATTTTTTATTGGGTGGGGGATTGAGATATATTCATAATTTCACTTTTATTTGGTTGAATTAATAATCAAAAATAAAAGTTTTTTTTGGGGTGTAGCCAAGTGGTAAGGCAAAGGACTTTGACTCCTTGATCGTTGGTTCAATCCCAGCCACCCCAGCCAAATTAAAATATTTTAATGAAAAGATTTATAAAACTTCAAAATTTAGTCAATGTTGGTACAGTTCTTAGTGTATTGTTGATTTGCTTACATCTAATTAACGAAAAAGAAAAATACTGGCGAGCGGATTTGTTTTGCATTAGGTCTATTCATGGAGTTGTTATTCTTAGTTTTTTTCTTTTGATTATTTGTTTTGTAATATGATGATTAGAAGATTAAAATTAAATTATGTTAGTATGAAAAAGGAAGAATTGATTCAGGAATTAGTTAAGAAGACTGAAGAAAAGAATAGAGTCTTAAAAAATTTTATTATTTCAATTGCAGTGATTTTAATTTGTTTCTTGTTAGATGGACTTTACAATGCTGCTAGAATGTTAGCCTCCCGAGGTGATTTGGGGGAAAAAAGTATTTATTTTGAAACAATGCTAAATACTTTTCTTCCTCTTTTATTTCTCCTTTGATTATTACTTATATTAGTTGCGGCAGTAATTACCTTTAAACAATTAATCCACTGATTAAAAATAAGAAATGAAATAGAACAAATTAAAATTTGACTGGATAACCTAAAATAAAGAAAATAAGTCCTGTTAACTCAGCGGTAGAGTGTTTGCCTTTTAAGCAAAAAGTCGGAGGTTCGATCCCTCCACAGGACACCAAATCAATCATTATAAATAAAGAGAGAAATTTTTTCTAAATTGAGTAATAATAATTAATAATTTTATGATTGGTAATTAGCAAAGAATAAGGATGTTAATTAGAATTTTATTTTATTTAAAGTATTTTGATTAAGCGGATTTTTCTACATTTCTCAAATAGTTAAAGTTAAAAAAGTAGTGCTATTTTTATAATTAAATAATCATTTTTTCCCTTATTTGTAAAAACTAAAATGTTATAAAGTTATTAGTATAGGAAAATATCATAACTATAAAATTAACTGAAGGAAAAATTGAGAAATTGGAAAGAAAACTTAACAAAGAAAGATATAGAATTAATGTCAAAAAATTATCAAGATAATGCAATAAATTAAAAGAATTAAATTTATTGCATGAATAATATTTTCATAATATATTTCTATCTTTTTATCGGTTTTATTGTTTTTTAGAATTCTTTTTTATTCTGTTGACTATTAATTTTATTATACAAAAAGATAAAAATGACAAGAAAATTACTGTTCCTGTTCACATTATTAATCAAAATTTATAGTCAGTAGGAGGTTGAGAAAGGAAAGATTTATTTTTTTCTTTATTAGATAATACAATTTGATCAACTTTTTCTTTTAATGAATAACTTAGTAAATCAGAAAAAGGATATAATCCCTCAATGTATAAATTAAATTGTTTTTCGGAAATTTTAGAACGACTATTTAATAATCAATTAGCATATTTTTCTAATTCTCTTTCAACAAGACTATTAAATTTACCTCTTGTTTCTTCATCTATTGAAATAGGACCATCACGGCTTTCAATTATCCTTAATTTACTTAATGCTTTAATAATCTCATTAATATTAATTTTCTCTTTATTTTCATATCTTTTCAGAATGTCTTTAATTTTTTCAAGAATTTTATCTTCAATATTCACCATAATAGTTATGCTTATATAGATCAATTTTATAATATTTTTTTAATAAATCACTAATGAACAAACAGTAAAATTAATGATTCTCCTAGTTTTATATCTTGTTCTGAACTAAGGTAATTGTTTGCCAAACTACTTAATCTTCTTTCAATAACTTTTTTGATTATTTTCAAATTGTCTTCTTTTTTAATATCATAAGCAAGTTTAGTTGGTCATCAATTTTTTACTTTAACTAACAATTTAGAAATGTTTAATGCTGAACTAATGGCAATTGGCTCAATTTTTACTCCTTGTAATTGTAACTTATTGTCTTTTCATTCTGCAGTTAAAAGAATAATTAATAATCCATTTTGCCCTAAAATATTTCTTTGCTCAACCAATATTTCTTCCAAACTCGCCAAAGATTTTTTTATCCTTAAAGAAGAAATTTTCTGAGTAGGAAAATCAAGTGCGCAAACATTGGCAAGGTTCAAAAACTTTCCAGGAAAATGATTTAAAAAATCTTTATTTTTATAACTGTTTTGAAGAGTGACTATACCTAACGGCTGTAACAATTGTAATAATAACTTAAAGTCAGAAAAACTTACTCCCAAACTCAAGTATTCTTTTTTACTCAAATTAACTACTTTGCTACTTTGAGTATAAAGATAATCAATTGTACGAGCTAACCTCATTTCTCCGCCAATTACCGGAGGAATACCAACCACAAATTGAAAATTTGACTTTTGTTCTGACGATCAAGCAGATAAAGATTTTTTTATCCTTGCTTCGATATTTTCAGGATTATCAACAATTAGGTATATTTTTTCACTAATATTTTGAATCTTAGTATTTTCTTCTTCTTCTATTATTTTTTTTAGGGAACTTCTGGCTAACACTTGATTAATCAAAGAAACAAAATCTAGATTGAGAATTTGTACTTTTTTGCCTCAACTATGAGCTAATTCTAACAATTCAAATATATGAAGTCAATCAAAGTCGTAAAGGATAAAAAATAAAGGTTTTTCTTGACTAGGAAAATTTTTGCTGGCAAAAAAAAGTGAATTTTTGTTTTGCCAGTGAAGACCTCAATAATTGGTAATTAAATAAGTATTTTTTCTTTTTTGGGCACAAAATTGCTGAAAATCTGCTCAAAAACTACTAGGGAAAAGCATTCTGTTGTTCAGCAAACCACTAAAAATAAACCCTTCTAAAAAATAAAAGCTATGCTGAGAATGATGAATCACTAATCCCAAATTTCCTAATAAATAACCACTAAGCGGAATGAAAGATAAATCAAAATCTTCGATTTTCAATTCTTTGTTCTTTTCTATAATTATTATTCTGTTTCTTAATTGCAAAGGAAAAAGATAAGCCAAAATTAAGCGGCTTTGATAACTAGAATAAATAGGAATTTGTGATCCAATTTCACGAGAAACATCACTTAAATAACCAACATTTTGTCAATTAGTATTAGTAACGATGATAGCCTTAATTTTGGCTCTATTTTCTTTCAGATAATCACGACCTATTTGTTGTTCCTGATAACCAGTTAAAGAGTATTCTTTTCCAGTTGCTAATAGCAAGATTCCTTGTTCTGATTCTAGAAGGTAAAAATTACCTTCATTTTCTCAACTACCCCGAAAAAGTAAAAAGCGAATTGTCATAGGTATTCTTTTTTTTGATAAATTATATATTTACATTACAAATTTTTGACACTAATAATTTTGATTTGATATTTTTTTGAGCCGATTTTAACCTCCACTATTTGACCATCTTTTTTTTTATTGAGTAATTCCCCTAACGGACTAACCCGAGAAATTTTTCCTTGTTCCGGGTTAATTTCCCCATTTGTCAATTGAATAACCTTTTCTTCTCCAGTTTCTAATAATTGATAAACAATAATTTTATCTTTCTCTAATTTTATTTCTTCTATTTTAACTTTTAGCTGATTGATTTTTCCACGATAAATTAATAGTTTCTCATTCAATAATACTCAGTCACTATTTTCAGAAATGTCTTTTGCTCCATAAACCTTTAACTTCTCCTTAGTCTCTGAATAATCACTTTCCAGCTTTTGTAATTTTTCTTGTAAGATAGAAGAATTATCTTCTTTTTCTCTTGAAATATTTTTCATTAGTACAATCTTAGATAATATTAATTAATCTAAATTTTCAACAAAATAGGCATTAACATTAGTAATTTCTTTTTTCCCCTTGTAAAAATTTATTTTTTTCTTCTTTTCATCTCGGAAAAATTCGTTTAAGTCTTTTTTATTATATCAACACACTAATTCTTCAACTAATAGGTAAATTTCAGGCTTAGTTTTTTTGTTGATTAGGAATATTTTTTGTAAATAAGCAGGGATAATTTTAACTGCTTTTTTAGTTTTTTGTTGAATACAATCCGAACAATCTCTGATTTCTTTATTTATTGATTGGAATTTTGGACACTCAACTCGGTTTTTTAAAGATTGTTTGTTTAACTCTTTAAATTCTTCTCGTAACTTTATTAGTTTTTTAGAATCGGGCTTGGTAATTTGCAATTGTTCAATTTTTTCTTTTAAAATTCTTTTTTTATCGCTTTTCTTATCACAACAGTTATCGTTTTCATGTTGAATTTTTAGTTTTTCATGTTGAGAACAATTTTTTTTACAATCA